GGATCATATTTTACTCATTTATTTATCTTTGTGTCCCTTGTTTCTAGCATAGCACCTTATATGTACTCTAAAAATGTATTTATTTGAATTGTACTTGAATGAAGAACCTGCAACTACTGCAGAAGGTTTACATAACTTTCACATGGCTGATTTGAGGACCGAGAATTTATTTATCTTCCCAGGTGCTTAGTTCATGGCAGACATTTGGTAAATATCAATCGAGCCCAGCCCAAACATGCTTATATATTCCCATATTTGCCATTGGCTAGATTTGACTGATCTAAACATAAATCAGAAGTGGCAGAATTCAGGTCAGAAAAGGCACAAAGGGCCTAGAATTACCTCAAGTGTAGTTGGAAAATTCTTTGGCAGAGGGTCTGAAGACATGGTTCCAAAACCCACTTTTAAAATTTTGTGATCTTGGGCGATTTCTTCCTGCTTTTTGGACTTAAGTATTCCTACCTGTTATACGAGGGCATCAGATTAGATGATCACTTAAGGTTGCTTCCAGCTTTAATGTTATGTGTGTCTTAAAATCTTTGATTATCTTGGTGCTCTTTTGTGCTGGTGGCTGTGGAGTCCAGATGTGACCAAACTGGAAGAAGTCCCCATTGGTGACTGCGCAACTTCCCTCAAGCCCTGGCCAGCTTCATTAATATGTAAAGTACCTTACACACAGTGGCTACTTGAAACCTTTTTTCTTTCCCTCTTTTGACTCTAGCACTGTATCTTTATGCTTTTTACAAGCAAAAGAGACAGAAATCACTTCTCCTCCTTGGTTGCTACTTGACCAGTATCTGTCTAGAGACTGCACAGTGGGAAACAACAAATCACAGCTCATAAGGTGAAAGGACTTCTGTTAGGACCATAGCTAGTAAATAACAGAGCCAGGACGCTAACTCAGGTCTCCCAGTTTTCACTCCAGTCACCTTCACCGTACCTGTGACCTTGTGGAAATCCCACAGTGATCTGCATTTATTGTAGAACTATTCAGTTGCTTCATAATGGGTATTTCAGTGTATTCATTGCTTATAACTCACTAGGCCTTCTGAGCCTCTGGGGTATTGATAAAACATGATCAGTGTATCTTTCTCTCTGTTTTATTAGTTTGTTGTTGAGGATGGATGGAAGGGCCATCTGAACTATCATTCTAAATGTTGGCCTCAGACCTAGCTTCATACTGCAGCATGTCAGAAGACATTGGCTTGTCATCCTCCCAAATCTTGGGCTTGCAGAGACTGTTACAAGATGTGAGACATGTTTGGTCTCCTAGAGTTGAGTGTGTTTCTTCTTTTCCCTCTCAAGATTGATGTTTTTGGCTTGATTTCTTGTAAGTGGTTTAAAATAGCATAGGATTTAAAATATGCTAAATTTTTGTGCTAAGTATAGTTGGACAAAATGAACAGTGAGGGGAATCTATGAAATGTGAAGAGAGTAAAGACTTGTGGAGAACCCACAGGGAAGGACAGGTTGAAGGTTGCAGGGAAACTGGAAAGTAGTATAAAAACATTAAGTCCAAGTAAGTTCAGAGGGAAGGATTAACAAGGCACCAGATTGTGTTCTGTGAGTATAATTGAGAGTATTTAGTGTTGAGAAAATAGATTTGGGGGGTCTTGAGAGATGATTTCAAGTACCTGAGGTTCTGTCGGGGAAGAGGCAAAAGACTTTTCTGGAGTCCTGAGATAGGATTTAGGACCAACAGATGGAAATAGCTTTTGTTTATTTGTTCATTTACTCATTTGTTCTTTAATTTATTCATTTGTTATTGATTACCTATGTTTGTGCCAGGACTGGTGTTGGGGATAGAGGAATAAATAAGACTAATCTTTGTTCTTGAGGAGTTCATAATCTAAGTCTGGCAGGAGAGGGGAGAGTAGGGAGAGGCAAATGTGTAAACAAATAATTGCAGTGCAGTTTGAGATAGACAGAACTTAATGGAAATGGGAATTCTCTAAATGAGACGACCAAAGATAGAATAGGCTGACTTTTGAGCCTATAGATTTCCAATCCTGGAGGTTTCCAAGCATATAGGCTGGATGATCTCGGCTGAAATGTGCCACAGAGGATTCAAACACTGTATTCCAAAAGCAGATTTTAGGTTTTCATAACTTGGAATCTTTTTGAAAATGGAGATCTACCACCAAGAATTCTCCAAGCATAGTGAAAGAACTGAGAAGTGAAGAAAGGTTGATGAGGGCTTTCTTGGCACAATCCTGAGCTGTGGTCCTGAAAGGGAGTTACATTCAATGAAACCGTTGGCTCAAGGAAGAGCCTGCTTAGAGTATCAGGTGGCCGCAGGGAGTGTAATTTTGGAACTGGCAGTCCAGAGTGAGTGGGAATGTCCACTTGAGAACTGACCCAGTAGAAATTCTCTCTGGGGTTGCTGAGCGAGTTGAGTTGGGGCTGGGAGGGAAAGCAAAGGCAGATCTGCAAAGTGAAACTGGAAGAGATGGATAAAAAGCACACCACTGAGAGAGTTCATCTAGATTAACCAGGATGCCTTTGCTTATTTGATTTCTTTTGTTCAAAAAGAGAAGGGGCAGTTGGTTTGCCAGAGGTAGGTCAGGATGAATTATACAAGCAGGTGAAGTTTGAATTTGGACTTGAAAAATGAGTAAGATTTTTATCAGTCAGCGGAGGAAGAAATCATTGACAAGAAGCTTTGACGATCAGAAGGAGCATAAGAGACTACTTGGCAAAATTAGGAGGACAGAGATTGCTGAGGTGTAGTTTCAGTGTAAGCAGTGTGCGGTGTGGTGGCTCAAGTTTGTAAGGCAGGTTGAAGTCAGATAGTAAAGGACCCTAGAATTTCATCTGTACTAAACTTATAAGGAAAGGTATACATCCCTGTGTAAACTTCAGTTTAATTAAAGTATTAATTGAATCCACTGTGAGTCAGACACTATACTAAACACTTTTGGATTGCCAAGGTGATAAAATCTGGCCCAGCCTTTGGGGAACATTCTGGCTCCTGGCAAAAACAATTATAACATAGTAAGAATAAATGTGATAGCTTGGAATATATCCATTGCCTTGGGGGTCTGAAGGAGGGGGTACATCTAACTTCTTGGAGGTGAGAACATTTCCAAAGGGCTTCATGGAAGAAATAACAGTTGAAGGATGAGTTAATTCCCAGTTTAGAATTAGGGAAATTTGCATTCTAAGCAGAGGGAACAGTATTTCAAAGGAATGGAAGTATGAAAGCTATGGTATATTGGAAGAAGTTGGGTGTGGCTAAAATGTAAGGGGAATTGGAGTGGTAAGAAAATAAGGCTGATGGGTGGGCTAGGTTAAATAATAGGAGGGCCTTCAAAAGCAAGTTAAGGAACTTTAGCTTTTATTCTGGGGTGTCAATGAAGGGTTTTCAGTAGAGGAGTGGTGTGTTTTAAGATCACTGATGGTCTGTGGAGAAATAATTGAGGAAAAAAGTGGGTGCAAGGAATCATTTACTTCTACATATTAGAAAATGTTAAGACCTCTAGAGATTTTGTTCATGGCATTTAAGTAATTAGCATCTTAAGCAGTGGTATTCACATCTCGCTGGCATTAGGATCATTAATTTGTAAAATTATAGAATTTTGGCCTTAACCCAGCTATACTAAATCGGAATTTGTGGAGGTCAAACCAGAGCATCTGTATTTCTAAAAAACCTCTCTTATTTTATGCTAGTCTTGTTTTTTAAATCAGAAACTTTAGTCTCTAAATAACAGTTATGATTGACTCCAAGAAGCATGTTGCATTCTAAGTAAAGAATCATGGTTAAAGATATAATTTCCACTGTAGCATGGGAAAATAATGAGAACCTTAATTCACTCTGGGTACATATATGTTCATCCATTGTTTAGAACTTATTTAACATAATAACATCTATCTTCATTAAAACCATTGGTACCAGTGATAGGGATTTTTCTCCTTTCTTTAAATTTTATTCCTTCTATTTCCTAGAAGCATTGGAGGTTGCCAGTAAATTCAACATCACCTGGTACAGAGTGATTATAGCATTGGCCATCATGTATTTAGGGTAAGGTTAAATTTCTTAGAGGAAGGAGGTACTGGAGAGACAATATAGGCCTGGGTCAGCAAACATTTCCTGTAGAAGACCAGGCAGCAAATATTGTTGGTTTGTGGACATACATTCTCTGTTGCAACTACTGCCATTGGAATGTGAAAGAAGCCATAGACTATTTGTAAGTGAACTGATGTGACTGTTCCAATAAGACTACAGCTGACCCTTGAACAGCATGAGGTTGGGGTGCCGACCCCTGTGCAGTTACAAGCCCACATGTAACATCTGACTCCCCAAAAACTTAACTATTAATACCCTATTGTTGACCAGAAGCCTCAGTAATAACATAAATGGTTGATTAATGCATATTTTGTGTCATATGTATTATATACTGTATTCTTACAATAGGCAAGATACAGAAAATATTTTTTTAAATATTGCAGATTTCCCCCAAATTTTCTAATATATTTATTTAAAAAATCTGCATATAAGTGGACCCACACAGTTCAAACCTGTGTTGTTCAAGGGTCAACTGTATTTACAAAACCAGCAGCTTTATTGACCCTTGAGATAGTGATAAAGTCCCTTTCAGAGAGAAAATGCAATTTTCCTAGAGGCTGGCAGAGAACTCACTACAATGGGATATTGTTAACCGTTTATTTAATCTTCCTAACAGTGAATACATGGAGCCCAAAGTTGGTCAGGGATTTCTCTAAAGCTAGTAAGTGGCACTGGGATTCATACTTAACTGAGCTGAGCCAAATTTCTGCCTTTTAAACTCCATCATGGTGGTTTTCTGTAGACAGAGTAGTCAGGACATCTTTGAGTACTATTGACTGAAGAAGACAGCGGTCGTCATGGTGCACAGTGGAAGGGCTTGAACTAGGCTCTGGAAGCAGGGCTGTATAACTTGGATTCTTTTAAATTTTTCAACACGTTATTTCCTTTTGCTCGAAAATAATAAAAGAGTTAATGTTCCTCTTTCTGATTCCAGTAGCTGCTGGTGGTGGTGACGATGTCAAATAACGGCCTAGACATTCAAGACAAACCCCCTGCCCCTCCGATGAGAAACACCAGCACTATGATTGGAGCTGGCAGCAAAGACGCAGGAACCCTAAACCACGGTTCCAAACCTCTGCCTCCAAACCCAGAGGAGAAGAAAAAGAAGGACCGCTTTTACCGATCCATCTTACCCGGAGATAAAAGTACAGTATTTAATTTCTTTCTCATCATTTGTATACTTAAAAACAAAACAAAACAAAACAAAAACAACCTTTTTTTTGTAACTTGGGTAAAAGATCTGTCCCTTCCTTGACTTAATTTTCCTTTAGTAGTGTTTATTTCCCCTATTAAATATTTCTTTTGTCTTTCTTTCCAAAGGTGGCTGATGTCAAATGCAAAGTAGACCCATTTTTATACTCTATTACCTATATTTGAGCAAAGTTCTAAGAAAATTACTATTCTCTTGCCAGATTTTGGACAATCTGAAGCCATATACTTACTTACTTTTAAAGTACTTAAACCATTTGTAAACTCACAAAATATAAGAAATATTGAAATGTCTTCATTTGGAACTGTTTTTTCCAAACTACTTGCACTTGGAATATCTTCTTTCCAGATTCTTGATTGCCTCTGCTTTATTTATATGTCCTGATCTCACACCCAAATATTCTAAAATTCATTGTGGGGATAGTTGCCTGTGAAGATTCTAGGAAAGAATAACACCACCTAGATCACAGCCCCTGTACCTAGGAAGCTGGCAGCTACTATATAAATGAATTAGCTTTGAGAGTATACTAAAAGCCACTGGATTGTACATAATGGGTGGATTGTATGGTATGTGAATTATGTCTTAGTAAAACTCTTCTTTAAAAAAAAGAGAAGATTCTGGCCTAAAACAGCAGATGGAAGCAAGCTTAACCATCAGACATCACTGGGAACTGTGAAGAGATGATCTTATGTACTGAATGGGGAGGTAGAGGTCTGGATATCTGGGTTATAGTCTTGGTTTTCACATAAATTGGCTGCCTAATTTGTGTCAGTTACTTCTTGTAGACTTCAGTGCCTTCATCTGAAAAATCAGTCAAACTAGTAGGCGTACACAGTCTCTCACAGTTTTGAAATCCTGTAATTATATAAATGAGTTATTACAAAGGTGAAGTTGGATCAGGTTGTGTATGTGGGTGAGAAGAAACCAGGCCACTGCAAAGTACTTTGATCACTGATAAAGCTGTAAACCAGAAGTTCTTCTGGAAATCCTCGCTTTAGTAACCCTAGGCCAAATTTGGTCTGAAAATAGATCTTATAGCTCAAGATCAAAGCCACATTTCCGTAAATTCAAAGCATAGAGGTAGGAAACACAGAGTTATAAGAAGTTCTGTGAAATGATCTAGTAACCTCCCTTTTATCTCTTGGTTATAGATTTTCTATACATGCCCTGAGCACATAGGTTTCACCCCTTTGCTTTAAGAGCCTGGATGGCCGTAGTTAATACATACATCAAAATGAAATGCGTGAGGTTTTTTGGAGCCTTTGTTCTGCCTCATTTTGTGTTCGTTGATGTTATCAGGCACCCAGTAAGTGTTTGTTGACCTGCTTCTTTGTGCTTAACTTAGTCGTAGCAGGATACACAGCAGTGTTGGCATCCTTTTGAGTGCTATGCCCTTCATAAATATTGGAGAATTTATATCAACTGCATTGGGAAATGGTCTAGAACTGAACTTAGAGAACCTAGATTTGGTCCTACCTCTGATATTTGTTAACTGTGATTTCTTTTCCTCTTACGTATTTATTTTAACCCCAGTGTCCTCATTTGTAAAGTGAGTATAATCATAATTCCCATCCTCCCCATATCACTGGTAGTTTTTTGCCATTTGGCATAGCGAATGTAAAAGCATTTTCTAAACACTATATAAGTATGAGGGTTTTATTTGTTTGTTTTAATGGAATCCTCATTTCTTGTTTTATCTGATACCCACAACAACTGATTTTTCAGTTGGGGAGTCTGAAGCTTAGAGAAAAGTATAGTGCTCACTGTCTCCCAGCTGAAAGTGCAAGGGTGAATGTGGAACTAAGTCTTCTAAAGTATCTGTTACCTCATAACATACTATCTCTGTGAATTATTCTCAACCCAGATTACACATCTGACTTACTCACGGTGCTTTTAAAAAATACGGATGCCTGGGTCCCACCTAGACTTTTGGAGCCAGAATTTCCAGAGGGCTTGTTTTGGGTCTCTAAGGAGATTTGGAAAATGAGAAATAAGAGTTCTCTGTGGGCCGCGGTAGTGGTTGAGATTTGAGCTGGCAATGGTTAGAATATTTGTGGGCATTACCTAATGCTGGCCTCCAGCATGGCTTCACTGTGTGCTTGGGGGAATGCATAAATGGTTGGAAGAAGCTACAGCTGAAGGCCCGTAATAGAGTGAAGCTAAGTTGCAGAATTCCATGTGGGAAAGCCTGGTTCCTGTGGTTAGGACCTGGAGCCTTTGGTTTATCCTAAGAAGTCCAGTAGCATTTAGTTTGGAATCTTTTTCTGGCTGCATTTTCAGCAGCCAAAGTGGAATTCTCTGAGCCTGGGAAGAGTTTAACAAAGTTAATTTTAAAACTGGACTACGTCAGTGTTTCTCTCTCCAAGTTTGGAGCCTTTTACTGCCTTGAGCTCAAATTAGTCCAGCTGAACCAATGAGAGGTGCTTCTTAAAAATGAATCGTTTAAAAACATAAATAAGGCCAATGATTTGTGCTGAAACTTGGATGGCTATACTGTAACATGGGCTTTTGCAGTGTCAGCCTTATTTCCCATGCTACCAGAAAGCCAAATGGACTAGGCTAAATTCAGGGTTAAAGTTAGGATGCATGAGGTTCCCAGCTTCTTTTTCTACTTTATTTCCTCAAGCTTGTGATATCTAGTTACATAAAATCAGGATGATTCTTTCTTCTTATTCTTCCGTCACAGTTTCTTCTCTGTCTTATGAGTGGTTTGGGAAATCTTGCTCTGACACTTTCTTGTGTTAGTGATAACACATGTTTGTAAAGCTCTTTAGCTTACATTTTAGCTAAGGTAAGGTACAGCTAAGGTAAAGAAACTGCCTATGTTTTCTTTACCTTAGTTGATCCTCAGAATAATAATAAAAATAGTCATAACACAATAGTAATAATCATAAAATGACAGTAACCCAGCTGCTGTTTATTAAATGCTTGCTAGTTACCACACATTTTATTAGGAGCTTTGACAGTAGTGAAATATACCAGTCCTTTCAGGTAGATAAATATTTCACTTTGTAGACAGTAAACAGAGGCTCATAGTGATTAAATAATTTGCCCAAGCTCTTCTAGGTAGGGAGTCACTGAGCTGGGATTGAAGCTCTGTCTGTTTCTAAGGACCTTTCCATTACGCAACACTGATGCTCTTGGGCTCAGAGTCAGTGACTCGCCCAGGGTCACATGCTCATAATTGTAATGCACAGAGTCTGAATATGAACTATTGTATCTTTACCTCTGGACTGTGTTCTTTCATTCTTCTAAGTTCTCAGATACCATATAGTGTTTGGAGGCTCCCATCCTAGAGATGTTCAGGCTAATGCCTTTAGTAGATCTGATTTGGTTAGTTCTTTTAAGTTATTTTTAAACAAATTTGCATTTAATGGCATCCATTCTGTTACTCACTGGCATATTCACTTAGCTTCATTATGGAAAAGGCACAATATATACAGAAGAAGCTATGTTTGAGTTTCAGGCCTTTGAAGTTATCATTGCTGTCCCTCTCTGACTTTGTGACCTTTGGTAAGTTGCTCTACCTTTCTTAGCCTCAGTTATCTTACCTGTAATGTGGGCACATACTAATATTTATCTCATGAAATTGCTGAAAGGATTTAAAGATGAAAGATGAGAGAAATTATTCAAACTGCAGCCTTATTAAGTCTTGGTAGTAATTTTGGTAGCTGTTATTGCTTGTAGTCATGGTTTTCTTTTGGATTCTGTGATAAACACTTAGAAGAGTTGTTAGGAGATTTACAAAATAACAACTCTTAATGGGGTCCCTCCAAGGTAGAATTAAAAAATGGTCCTACAGAGATGCTGTATTTCCTGTTGGTTTAGACAGGGCTAATGGGAAGACCAGATTAAATAGTTTCGTGCCCTGAGACTGAGCAGACCTAAGAGCATGTTGCCTAAGAAGTTCTCACGAGTTCTCTGTAATGTCAGAAGCAGGAATCTAAGCCTGGACCTCTGGAACAAATAATATATTTGAAACTGAGGCCAAAAAAATAAACATTTTAAAACTACAGATCTCAAATAGTCTTCATTTCTTTCTTACTCTAACCTTCTCCCTTCTCCCTTTCTTCTTTCTTCCCCTCTTTCTTCTGTTTTTTCCTAATTCATTTACTTAGTTGTTGTCAATAGGGTTGGAAGCGTCAATGTACATATGATATACTGGGAGTTGGCCTTAGCAACCAACTACGTATTCAAGGTTTTCTAAGAAAACAGCACTTAAAAATATTCTGCTTTGGATTTTGTTCCTGTTGCAATGTTCCCATTTACTTGTTGTGTGACTTTGGACAACTCCTTGAATTTCTCTAGGCTTCAATTTTGTTCTCATCCATAAAATGAATAAATTGAACTAAATGCTCTGTAAGGTCATATATAGCTCATGGATCATGATTCTTATAGATTCCTCCATTGCACTTAAAAATCTTTATATAGAAAAATGCACACTTCAGAAGTGTACAGCTCATGATAACATTGACCACAGTTGTGTGGTCACTGCTGTGACTGAAAAACAAGATATATAACTAGCACCCTAGAAGCTCCCTACATTTTCCCTTCCAGGCACTAACATTTCTCTTTTCAAAAGATTAAACATCATAAATGAGTTTGCCTGTTTTTCAGTTTGCTATACATAGAATTGTACAGTGTATATTCTTTTCTTTGCCTTCATTTGCTTAAATTAGCATTGTTTATAAGATTTATCTGTGTTTTTACTACAGTTATAATTCATTTTCATTGCTGTGTAATATTCTTTTAGAGGAGTATTTTCCATTATATTATTGATGAACATAAGGTTGGTTTCAGTAATAGACTACTACAAGTAATGTTTCCTGACCATTCTTGTACATATCTTTATGCATGTGTTCACACATGTCTGCTGGGTACATATACATAGTGAAACTGCTGAATCATGCAGATATTTATGTTAAACTTTGGTTG